GTGGGGGGGGGGGGAGCTTAACATTTAGGTCTTTTTCAATTGCTCTCTTTGCAAATATGTTGGGAGTCTTGGCCAAGAGGTGTTTGTCTCTCCCAGGTAAAACCTCTGGTATGGGTTGAAGCTCAGGTTGAAAGACATTCTAGGAGCCGCATGGAAATTATGGTAAAAGCCAGAAGCCAGTTCAAGGAGCGCAGGTATGTGTTTATGATGTTTCAACTCTCGTCTTTATTTTCTGTGCTATTGCCTGTCATTTTCTGAATTTTTGTGCAAAATTGAAATTTCAGTACTGCGACCAATGTCGAAATTGAGTTGCCTGTGCCATCGGATTCTACCAATCCTAATATTCGGACCTCAATGGGGTCTGCTTCTTATGCACCCGAAAATGATGCGTTGATTTGGAAAATAAAATCTTTTCCAGGTGGTAAGGTAAGAGTTGCCTTTCACTCTCGCTCTAGTTTCACTTATTGCCTGGTTTTGAATTATATTTACATTGAAAAGTTCTCAATTCTGATACCTTTTTTGCTTCATTTATTTTTCAGGAATATATGTTGAGAGCTGAGTTTAGGCTCCCGAGCATAGTATCTGAGGAATCAGCTCCAGAGAAAAAAGCTCCTATACGTGTGAAGTTCGAGATACCATATTTTACTGTTTCAGGAATACAGGTGAGCCATCGCGATAACTTGTGCAAGACTCTATACTGATAAGTTTGCTTTATTCGAACTCACTGCAGCCATCACGATAACTTGTGCAAGACTCATCTATAGCTAGTTTGGCAAAAGGCGTCGTCATCGGATAATTTTCTTTGTAATTCTTGAAAACTCATTTTTTGTAGGTTCGTTACCTGAAAATCATCGAAAAAAGTGGCTATCAGGCTCTACCATGGGTGAGATATATTACAATGGCAGGTGAATATGAACTCAGGCTTATGTAAAAGGTCACGTCTACATATTGATTTTTCGTCCCCCGACTTGCTCGTATGGCTAGAATGACTCAAGGACTCGTATTAACTGACGAGGTCATTCGAGACCAACTACCCCGGTTTGAATAGGTGGATTCTAGAGCAAATCCTGATGTTCTGAGCCATTTTTGTCTATTTAAAACTCGAGATTTGTAATAGTTGTTCATTTGCTTCGGTTTTTATTTTTTTATTTTTTGACAAAAATCTACTTAATTTGTTGTTCTTCAAATGTTTAGAAAATGATACATGCATTCCTTTGAATTAATGTATTTAGAACAAATATGGCATTGTTGAAAATTCAACCTACAATGTGTTTACATTTAAATTCAAATTGGGATACAATAGTTACAGACTATTGGTTCACTTGATTTGGTAATGTTGGAGTCTTTCTAAATGCATGCTTCCTACAGCGCTCGAAAATGCTGTCGTACATCAGGTCGAATTGAACTCCTGCCCTTTCCCGGTTTATAATGAAAAGAATGTGATCACCTTCAACAATCTTGTAATACCTGCATCAAATCGAACATTTCTGTTAAAAAATGGAAAGCTTCTAATCAATATCCGTCGGAGACGTGCAAATGAAAGTCCCACATCGGCTAGACATGCAACTAGCTTTCAATTTCCTAAGAGTTGGACTACCATGCCTAATTATATTAGGTTAACATTTTGAAATCGAACTATACGTAATGTTAACAGCCATGTGGATGCACAACATGAATCTACCGGGGTCTAGAAGATCCAAGTGGGCTCCATGGTAACCTGATACAGCCACTATGGAGATTACGTTAGACTTCAATAGTGTGTAAGCTTCTTGGTTGAAAAAAGATGGCCACAAGAGGTTATTGCTTGAGGGGGTCTTTGATGATCATATTGTTAGTGAAAAATACACAATATAAAATATATTCTATAGTTAGAATAAAATGAAAATGTAGAACTATGGGAATAAATCAATTTGAATCATTGAAGTAGAAACTAGAAAATCGAGGCCTGTGTATTACATAGTATACTTAAAACAGATTCGTCCCTCGATGCAAGTGCTTGGGGTTGCATTGAGCATCTGTTTTTCAAGATACAATGTCACCTGTAAAAACTGAGCAATGAATTCTACACAGTGAAGTGAACTTATGCCCGAACACGACCACCAAAACTGATAGAAATGGGAAAAACTTTGGCCAGACGAAAAAGTGAATTTCGTATATGGAACAGAGGAAACAACTGAGCTCGCCAAGAATGAAAGAAACTGGAAAAATTTTCTGCTAGACAGAAAACTGTAAAAATTATATGCAGTCAGAAAGAGAATTTCGTGTGGAACATAGAAAACAATTGAGCTCTATTATAAGCTCATGAATGGAGAATAATTTTACCCATTGCCATGGATTTACAGCCTATTCCTCTTCCAATTGGGTAAACTTTGACCTCCAACTTCACACTCACTAAGCATCATCTTTGGCAAGTAAATATTGACTTCAATGTTCTCACGGAGGAGAACATGAATCTGCTTTGAACTTCCAAAACAAAAGAACTTCCATTTTCTGACACGTGGGGCATAATGATATGGATTGCTCAAGGGAGATTGTTGAAGATGTGCAAATACAAGTACTACACATGCTAGACATGGGGATTGGTAAGGTAAAGTTTTTTTGAACCCTTGTATGTAGATAAAGGAGAAAAAACGCAAGGAGTTTGATCGCATCTTCTAGTTCATGTACTTGAAAAGATTCAAACTATAATCAAATTTCATCAATATATGTGACAAACAAATAGCCGGAATAAGGTAAACAAACCAGATGCCTGGTTGCAAAGGTTGGCACTCGGAATCTTTGACAACATAACGACTTGGATGTTCGACCGGGAAACGAGGGTGTGTCATAGATATAGTGTTGAGGGCTCCATCATTGTCCCACCAATCTTTATCCCTGGACATGTATGAAATAAAAAAGTTGAGAAACGTAATGATACCAGAAAGGTGAAACTTTGAACCGACATTTTAGAATGGTAATGAAACGTATAACCTATACAAATCTATTCATTTTCCAAGTTGATACAATCTGTTTAGGTCCCAATTCACCTGTATCCTTTGTAGGGTGGAGTGACATCTGGTGGATGTTGCCATTGGCTCATTTGCAGGACTCTGATGAAAAGCAACGGGTGTATCCCCCAAATGCCGGAGGGAACAGTAATACCCATGATTTTTCGTGTACGCTTGGTGGCATAGCTGAAGTAATATGTATTTGGAAATGTACAAATACGACTGTTCAATCTGATAGAACCTGTGATTGTCAGATCAGGAAGTATCCAATCTCCAGTTGCAAATGGACCATTGTTCCTCAAGAGATTATAGACAAGACCCCGAATGCCAACTTTTTTCCTAGACATGTTGAAGTGATCAAATCCGAAATTATAATAGGCCTTCAGCCATGGAATGTCAAACCAGTCGTAGATTATTACTCCTAACCGACACAGCTGCAGCAGACTGATGGGAGTCAAGGACCTCCCGTCTTCAGGCCTGCAGAAAATCATAATGAAAAATTAGTACCAAACACTAAAATGGACAAAACTTTAGCTTCTTCTCATATTTCATACTGTCAAATGCTTATCCAGCCCAACTTAACAAACTTGACACCATAGAAAACTGATTGATGTCACAGCAAGAACGTTCTTTTATGGATTGGACCCGAAAATCACAAGTATGAATTTCTTATATAAACAAAGTTGAATTTTAGTTTCAAAAATACTTACTGCATTCCATCTAAATAGGTTCGTGTTGTTCCATTGAATGCTCCAGATAATGAAGTTATGCTCAACACCCAATTCTCAGAAGTATTTTCAAACCCCTTAAATGCCTGAAATTAGATTGAATCTTTAGTTTTTCTTATGCCGAAACTGTTTTGTCTCATTTTATATAAATTCACTATATATAGACGAACCTTATCAGCTAGCATTTGCTGCAAAACCCGAACTACCTGTGCACCAGCTGAATGCCCAACAAAGTGAATGGGATGATTTTCATCCCATCCAGGGTAATTCCCTGCAGTTTACATTTGCACGGTCAAAAAGTAGGATAATATATTACGTTGGATAGGGTGGAGTTTAACCATATTGTTTACTTACCCTTCGATCTCAGGGTCCCCAAGGACAGATTTTTTTTTTTCATTTATAGGAGTATATTGGGCTTTTATCGATTTATAGATTCCTACACTATATAAAGGAGTTTGAGGGAGCCATCTTTTGTGTATGTTCAAGATAAGACAAATGGGTGTGAGATCTCCCATTCTAAAATTTATTCTTGATTATAGTGAAAAATATGCAGCGGCAAGTGGACATATCCATGTCAAAGTTTCTGCTTTTACTTCGTGCAGTATCTAGTGTTTGACAGCATTTATCAAAAAGAAATGCAGATTAAAGTCTGGACCTTTTCTATAAGTCCTCCCAAATTGGGAGTGCCCACAAGCTTTGCTGTGTTCTTCTCCATAATCAACCTGCCCTCCTTTCAAATAATAGAACAATTCTCTGGCCCTGAAAACCCAATCCCCATTAAATGTTGCAAAGGAACCTTAACAACCAAACTAAGAACCCTAAAAAAAGTTACAGAGAAAAAGAGACTATTATTAAACACGCACCTGTCATATATACTTGTTAAGGAGCCCAAATCGGGCACAAGAACTTTGTCATCTTTCTTTTCTGCACCCGCGAAATACGACAAACTTCCCAATCTCTGAAAAATATGAATAAAAAACTCAATCTTGCAAATTTGCTAGACATGAAACACCCAGAAAAGGGCTTGTTGAGTACGAAGCTTTGGACATGACTAAACAGTACAACCAACAAGATTTCTGCTCGTTTTTCTACTTAGTACTATCGAGTCATGTACAATCTACTCTACCAAACAAGCAAGAAATGTTAAAACTTCCAATTTTTGATGTATAGTAATGTAATCATATACATACTCCTTTACCAAAACCAAATATTCCATGAACCAACACAATGGGAGGCAAATCATCCACACCATTTGAACTTTTTGAATCGTCCCTTTTCAACCCAATATCCAAATTAGGCTTGAAAAACCAATCGGCAGCCACAGCTGTACTAAATATGTAAAACCCATATACCAAATGCACCAAAGAACTCACAAAAAGTTCTGTCAATTGCAGAGCTGATATCCACCATCTAATCATCTTTTTCCTCTTTAGCCCATAAATTTATGGATTATTCCATTTTTACAAAATTTATATTCTATATAAATTGATTACAAGATATGGGTTATTGAAAAAAAATGATAAAAAAAGTGGGCTTTTCAATCTGAACTAATGTATCAAATCTTTGAACAGAATCAAGAACCCCCAAAATTGAAATGAGAGGTGTTGAAAGTGGTTCTTAGAAACTGAATTCAGGCACCAAAATGAGCAGAAAAAGCAGGAAAAGTTAAAGCATTTTTTGTTGTAAGTTGTAAGTTGCAACTGTTGCTTCATTCAATTTTTCTCCCCGAAGAGGATTTTGTTCCAAAAAAGCTGCTTAGAAATGAAAGTCACGTGCCATAGTGTTCATCGCTGCCAAAAATTTGTTTATATAATTCAGGGTTTCGTGGTGAACTATCCAAAAGGGATTTCTTGTTCGGATTATGTTTGGGCGTTAAAAATAAATAAATAAATAAATAAATAATGAAAATTTAAAAACTGTTTTTAAGTAATTTTTATTTTCAAACTCGTTAGGATAGTGGTTCTTCGTACAAAGTTTTCAGATTATATGCTGATGAGTCTCACTAAATGTGGTTAAAATGAAAATTATGAGTTCAATAAAGTTAAAAACGAAATTTAATCAACTTATAATTTTATAAAAAGTTTTATCAAACAAGGGCTCAATACTCTAGACATCAGATCTCAATAGTTTAGTTTTCTTAGGTTCATTAAGCTTAGCCGAAGACGGGATTAGAATGAGAATATGACTATGTTTTAGGGGAAAAAGTTAGAATTCTTAGTTGTGAAATGGTCGATAATACAAATTAGGCTATTTATTAGAAAAAAAAGTTTTGGCCCACATTGACGGACGTTTCTTTCCAAGATCATAGTGTACCAACTCCTATCAATCCCTAACACCTACAACTATTAGAAGACACAAAAGTATTTTCCCATTTAAATTTAGCATACCGAGTCGAACACTGTACAAGAGTCTTTTTTTTCTATTGAAATAACATGGGATTTTTAGCTTTAATAAACCTTCGTGGTTCATTATAGATCTTGGAATCCATGTGGTTACAGATCAAATTCTTCGTTTTAATATTTCTTCATAAAAAGTTCAAACTCTTGCATTTGGATAATTTTTTTTTTTTCACTTTTAAATAATGTAGAAATTTTACCCTTTACCATATATACTTTCTTCTAAACATGCAAGTAATTGAGCATGTGTTTGAGTGCAATTTTGCTAGAAAATTTCATTTTTACATTCATTTTGTGATAGCGAAAGTTCTTAACCTTTCATAAATATGTACTTGTGGTTGACCGAAAAAAATTTCTCGAACTATTTGCTATCCAACGATTTTATTGGATGTTGATACCTTTTTGGACAGTTTTATTCGATATTGATTACTTAATTTTTCCAATCAACTGACGGTGTTTTTTATGATTTCCGTCCAGATGGACTTTAAGTGCATATTTATGAAAGGTGGGGAACCTCCACTGATATAAAATGAAGATTTGGGTAAAGTCTGCAAAAAATGAAAAAAGTGAGGGACCTTGCTGCAATTTCCCATAATACAATATCGATCTTTTGTCAGATGCATTAATGAAACTTTTGACTATTCATCACCCAAGATTTGCAAGCCTTTTTTCTATCCCCAAACAAATTACGTTGCTTGTTCCGACTTCAACCTGTGAAAGAATTTCTTCAAGCTTAGCCAAACACGGAATTAGAATCGCAATATGATTATATGCCCCTGTTTGGCTCAAATTTTAATCAGAGTCAGCGTCAAACAATTAATATTAATCACATCTTTTATAGATCCCACAATTTTTTAACTACATATTTCAAAAACTTCTATCAAAATTTAATAAAAATCTAATTTTAATTTCCGTCAAACACCTATATTTTAGGGGATAAAGATGGAAAATTTTGGCAGATAATCCAAATAAGGCTATTTATTAGAAATATAAATGTTTTGGCCCACATTGATGGACGTTCTTTCCAAGATCAGTGTACCAACTCCTATCTGTCCCCAACACCTAGAATTATTAAAAGACAATTATTTTCACATTTGTATTTCAAATCGAACATTGTAAAATAGGTCTTACTTTTCTATTATATTAACGTGGGATTTTTAGCTTTATTAAGCCTTCGTGGTTCATTATAGTTCTTGAAATCCAAGTGGCGATGGATCAAATTCCTTGTTTTAATTTTTTCCAATAAAAATTCTTAAATTCTTTAACTGTACCACAACGCGTTAAAATGTACCAAAACTGTATGAAACTTATCAAAATGAACCAAAATATACCAAAGTGCATGAAATGTACCAAAAAATAAACAAATACGCGAAATGTATTAAAATGTATCAAAAAGTGTCATAATGTACCAAAATGTGCCTAAAAGTGTGAAAATGAGCCAAAATTTACTAAAGTACAAGAAATGTTCCAAAATACGTCATAATTTATAAAAATTGATCATAAATGAAGCTCATCCAACACCTAGAAAAGAGTAGTGACATGAGAAATTTTAAAAATTCAAGGTCACCGTAATAATGGTATGTCCAGATAATCACTTTTGAGTTGAGTAACTATTTAAGCTTTTCCTAAGCAGATTTTCTTGACTACTAGTCAAGTCAAGACACCAAAGCATAAGAATTTAAGTACCCAACTTACATCGCAATTACTTCAACGTCAGCAAAAGATATGATATTAATCTTTCACAAGTCCTAATAATAGAAAGATTCCCATAGCCTCTTGGACAGTGACGGAGCTAGTACCCAATAATGTAGCATGGCCGTTCGTGTTGGCTCCATCGAAATTTACAGGTGCAGCCCGCAGTTGAAGTTTTCAGAACTTGTCGCCATGACTGTGAAGACAGTGAACTGGGGAAGAAAGAAAGTTGGGGAAGATGATAATTGGGCTTTTTTCTTTACTTAGGCCTTTTTTAGTTGGGCCTTTTCTTAAATAAAAAAAAGGCCCATATTCATTACCTAATGCCCATAATCATTTACGACATTTCTCAATTCACAACCACTGAACCACAACTCCAAAAAGCTAAACGCCCAATTCCAAACCATCTGTTCTACCATAGTTCCCGGTGTTGTCAAAAGCCTCAACGTAATAATCTACTTTTAAATTGTTTGTGACTTCAAAGGATTTTGTGTAATTTGGGTTGATTTCATTATCTTAGATCCGCCAATGCTCTTGGATATGAGAAAAAAGTGAAGTCTTATTTGAGATAGCTTTAAAAAATTGATAAAAAATCGATGTTAAATTCAATAATTAATTTTAATAACATATTTTATGAGATTCATAATTTTTATCAATTTTTTATCCACACATTTTATTAATTTTGATCAAAATTTGCTAAAATTTATATTAGAAGTTGCCAAATAATCTCTTAATGAAAATTTCAAGCCAACAAAGCTCATGTTTGTCTCCCCTTAAAACAAAATTATTTAATTCTCACAATCATTTTCAACCACATGGTCACACAATAAAATATTTTGTACGTAAATGCAAAATTTCTTTTCTATTTTTTAACTACACACTCTCTTAAAAATTACTATTCAAAATATCATTTTTTTTTTTTAAAATAATGGCCATCATTCAGGAGCTAAATATCTCCATAGGTGACTTAGCGTGATTCTTTCACCATGATTTTATGTAGCTTTTTGAAGTTTAGTCTATGTTTGAGCCACCACCCCCCAACCCCACCAACAATAATAATAATAATAATAATAAATAAATAAATAAATAAATAAATTTTTAACTACAATTTTATTAATCGAAGAAATTTATGGCTTCGCCATGCCGAGGTGCAAACACCAATACAAAACATTCATACATCTTATCTATACTTTTCCTTATATTAGTTCCAGGTGAATGTGCGACAACATAATTATTAGATTTTTCTCAAGTCCTAGAAATTCGATGTGAGGAATTAACGAATTAAAAAAATAAATCGTATCAATTAATATAAACTGATGTAATAAACATTGTCTATAAAATCAAATAGTTTAGTAAATCGGTTTAATGGATATATAAATGTATATGTAAACCAATAAATAATCAGTTCAATTAAATCAAACTAATAAATCGGTTCCTTTTGATACAATGTCCAAAGAATTCAAGCCATATTTTCTGATCAATCAACTGCCACATTATACAAAGACTAACATTATTCTAAAATAATGAATTGTAATACCATTTAAATCAATGGCTTCATAATCCATAATCTAACCCAACATTTTAGTGATAGTTGGAAACTGACCAGGGGCGGACCCAGGATTATGATCCAGTGGGCGGCGAGAAAAAATTACATAAAAAAAAATTTCAAGTTAGAAATAACGATAGTAATCAAAACGTAGTACTTTTTTATAATTGTTCCTTACGGCTTCTCATACTTTGAAAACGCCGTATAATAATCTTGTTATCGATTTCGTTAAATACATCTTTTTTCAGATAGACAACTAAGCTATCATTCATCCATTGGTATCCAATCTGATTACGCAGTTGATTCTTCACAATGTTCATAGTAAAAAATACTCTTTCAACTGAAGCAGTAGCAACTGGAAGAGTTAATCCTAAAGTCACAAGCATGTAAACTAACGGATACACTTTATTTCTTTTGGTCTCAACCAACTTCAATGCAAGTTCACTAAGTCCCTTCAATTCTCTGAACTCCTTGTTCGAGCGCATATCAATAATATAGTTTCGAAGCTGATCATCAAGTGTCATGAGCTGTACCTTGAAAAATCTTTAGGATAATACTTAGCAAGATGAATTAATTTATCCTTGTCAAAAGCAGATAATGAATCATTGGGGATAAATATGCTAAACAAAGAAGTAACTCTGTACTTACCTCAGAAAAATGATCATTCAATTCTTGAAGTTGCATATTAATGACAGAATAAAATAAATCCACACGGAAGCGATGAAAATTTGTCATTTGTTCAATATTACGCCATGAGTGACCTGGGCGTACAAAGACACTATCCATATCAGGAACATCAATATTATGCTTTTGACAAAAAGAAACGACTTCATCCAAAAAAAAATTCCACTCATTGTCCCTCATTTCTTGGAGTCTTTGTTTGCATACTGTCACTAAACTCATGGCATTTACAATATCGTGATCTTTTCTTTGTAATGCCGTAGACAATTCATTTGAAATTCCTAAGATAGTTCAGTTGAGGTGTAAATTAAACACAAACTCAAATGACTGCATTGAGTCCAATAAATTATCAGCATCACATCTTTGTTCACGTGTTGATCCATCAATTGAAATCATTTCAATGACATCAATTATAGGTGAGAACATCAAAATCAAACTAACCAAAGTACGATAATGCGATCCCCAACGTGTCACCAAAATGTGCAATAGTACTTTGTTGATTAAGACCTCGCCCACTTGAAATCTCACATTAATGATTGGTTCAGAAATTAGGGCTTCTTGTTTCTCTTGGAGAATATCACAACGTTTAGAAGAAGCTCCAACAATATTCACCACGCTAGAAACCAAATTAAAGAGTGTTTGGACTTTCTTATGCTTCTTTGCTATAGCTACAAGAGCTAATTGAAGTTGATGAGGAAAACAATGAACATAAAAGGCTTTTGGATTCTCTTTCAAAATAAGTGTTTTGAGATCTTTGAACTCACCTTCCATATTACTCGCCCCACCATAACTTAACCTCGCAATTTGGATATGCTTAACCCATATCTTGAAAATAATTTATCTATAGCTGCTTTAAGTGATAGAGCTGTAGTATTGGAAACATGTTCAATCCCAATAAAACGTTCAACCACATGTCCCGTCTTATCAACATAAGGTAAAACAACAGACATTTGCTCCTTCACTGAGATATCTTCAAATTCATCAACTAAAATTGAAAAGAATGTATCATCAATAGCTTTGATGATAACATCAATCGTTTTAACAGCTCCAACACTTACAATATCCTTCTGAATTTTTGGTGATGTTAGTTTGTGATTTATTGGAGCATTTTTCAAAGTGACAGCTTTAATCCTTTCATTATGATCAGCTAAAAACTTCATCTGTTCAAGAAAGTTACGTTGATTATTTGACTCTTCACACTCATCATTACCACGAAAAGCCAGTCTTTGATGTAAAAGAAGTCGTATACAATCAATTGATGCATTTAAAGGAATTCGATATGCACTCCGTGCTCGTTTTGATTGCTTGAAAAAAACTGTCTCAATATGTTGCTCTTGATTCATTAAGGCTTCACAATTTCTTCGGGCTTGATTGTGTGCACTATGGATATCTTCAACATGAACTCCAAGTCTATCTTTCTTTTTAAAATTATGGAACCCTTCTTTTACAAAAGCATCACCACCCCTTTTTTGGTCCAAAAAGATAACAGTATAAGTAAAATGCAATGTTTTTACTTAAACTATATTCTAACCAATTAGGATATTCATTGAACCAAGCAGGAATAAATCGCCTTGATTTTTTATGCGGAAACACATGATTCTGAGGTTGACACGGACCTCTCTGCAAGTATGCTCTTCATATTTGATCTCGAAGATTAACATTGTAATCTAATATTGGAGTTCTTAATCCGGGATCCGTGGAAAGTTGTGCAACATCAATATGCTCAATACTTGCTTTCTTTACCTCATCATTTTCTTGAAAATTAGTGTTATCAATACTTGCTTCCTTTGCTTCATCATTTTCTCCAACAGTAGCATCCTTACCACTGGCTTCCTTTGCCTTGACATTTTTGTCAATAGAAATTTGCTCAATGCGTTGTTTCTTTGCCTCAAAATTTTCTTCAGTAGATATTTGAGATACCGTTTTAAAATATCTCAACATATCTTCCTATCCTACAAGCCAAACAAAGCTTGCATAATATACCAACGGTGAAATGGAAAGTTAAGAGATGAACTCCGAATCTAAAATTGATGAATTAAAATGACCTTGATCTAAAAAATAAGGGAGTTTCTTGAGTAATATAAATGAAATACAAATACTCAGATTGATTCTTGGATATAAAATATAAGTAACTAAAACCCAAGAGACCTAAATCCTAATGTGAAATTTTTTTACAGGTTCCGGTAAAAATATGTAAAAAGGGTAACAATCAACATTTGAGAATCCAAGTCCAACAACCAAACCACTACAATCTAAATTCAAGACATTTTCTATTCCGCCCCTATCCAAATTCCAAGATAGGAAACTCAGGAAGTAATTAAGTAAATCTAAGTTATCTAACAATTTACAATTCAAGACATTTTCAATTCATATTGCTGAAATATCAATTCATTTCATTCACTGTCACTAATTCACGGCTTCATATATTTTTTTAATTCAACCACAATATCTAAACTTGTTATTTGCATAAATAACTATCAAAATAAATAAATAAATAATAAGATTAAGACAGAGAAATTGATTACCAAATTTTGTTTCTTCAATCTAGTCGCACCGCACCGTCTGTCCTCCGTCACACTCGCACACTCTCACTGCCTCGCACTGGTTCTGGTTCATAGGGTTTGAGAATTATGGACCTTATTTTCAATGTTAAAAACTTAAAGATTGTTGGGTCTGGGTTAAAACTCATGGGCTTCTATTAATCTATTGTATGGGCTTTTTTGAATGTCAAAAAAATTAAGGGTCCAGTGGGGCCGCTCCTGAAAGTGACACAACATCTAATAATAGGAAAATTACTTAACTACAAAAGTTTCAATATACATTTAAAAAAATAAAAAACTTGTAGAACTTTTTAAAAAAGCAGGTGATCACATTTTGTGATCATTAACATAATTTTGCAACCTATAATTTAATTAATTAGGTCAATGTCACAATCACAAAAATCGTACTTACAAAAACAATTTGTGGGTCACAATTTACATATTTAGTAGTAAATCACATATTTTATTAAATTACAAATTATTTATTAGTCACAAATTATCCGATAAACCAATCACAAACACCATCAACTTGCTAACCCCACCTCACCCCACTCCACAACCACCACCTCCGCCTTAATGAATCTGTAGGGATAGAGCCTAAATAAGCTCAATCAGAAGAACTCCACCACCACGTCCTCCTCTACATACAATTCACAACCATCACTACTTTATCTCAAATCCATCACCACCTCAACCACCCAAATCGTCACCTTCCTGACTACCTTTCTTCGCACCTAGTGGTGCAACTCCTAAAATCTGCTTTCAGCAGTTTTGTCAGTCAGATCTGCTTTCCCCAAATCAAGTTCCTGCCATAGTTGAAGGTTTTGGTGGGCTTTAAAACCTAGAAACAATCGACGGTTATGCAACACCAATATCACGATGAGCTTGTTGCGATGGAGATGGAGAAGAGGAGAAAAGCTTGTTGGTGGTGGTAGCATTTTTTAGAAGGGTTTATTTTTGCCCCCCCCCCCCCCCCCTTTTTTTTTGGGGGGG